TATTGAGAAAACAGAATGACTAAAAGTTATTACTACCGGCCCTGGAGTCAGGAGGACCTGAGTTCAAATGTGGCCTCAGACACTTGACACTTAACTAGCTGTGTGACCATGGGCAAGACACTTGACCCTATAGCCTAGGAAAATAAATAAATAAATAAATAAATAAAATAAAACAGAAGTTACGATGAATTAAATAATGCTTGTGAATTTTTGTTTTAATTAATAGTATCTAAATACCTTTAAAAATAATTAATACATATATGGCAGGCAGCCTGGTTTAATGCATACAGGTCTGGTCTTGACAATACAAAGATCTTGATTCTAATCCTCCTATGGTGAATCTCTCAGTGCCCAGGAAAACTCTCAAAGATATAGGTTCAGACAAACTGCTGTTCTGCACTGCTGGAGTGAGGTTCCACAGGCCTATATATGTCCAGATAGATGGATAGATAGATAGGTAGGTAGGTAGGTAGGTAGGTAGGTAGATAGATAGATAGATAGATAGATACATATATATTTTTATATGTATATATGGCATATTGTTTATTCAGGGTACAGAAAACATGTTTGCTTTTTATTTACTGAGTCTTGCTTATATATTTTGTGAACATGAAACTCGAAAAAGATAATATTTGGCACACGTGTAATATGCACTTACAGAGCATAAAAACTCAAGTTTGACCCTTAATGAACCACATAAAGCATAACAACAGCTTTCATGCCCGCTATGAAGTAGCTTTAAAAACTGAACTTAGAACTGGAACCAACTGTGTGAATGACTAGTGAACTAATTTAATGACTAATAAAATGAAATGAATAAACCATTATTAAATGCCTTACTATTTAGAGGGTAATTTTAATTTCAAAACACCAAAATCAGCCATTTCCTAAACCTGTTCTTATAATAAACCAGGGTTCTTCCAGATACCCTTGAGGGGTTTCATAAAACTTTAAAAAACATCTCATAATTAATAAAGTACAATATATATTTCTCTTTATATGTATTACATAAAAACATTTTACATTTTTAGGAAAAGGAAAGTAATAGTGTTAAAACCTCAAACTGAACGTTAGAGTCTCAATTCCACAAAGGATAGGAAGCCCCAACCTAAATATGAATCCTTTATTTTTTGTTGTAGGTTTTGAAAAGCAGGTTTGCTTTAAGGAAGTACAAATTAAGGCAATACTAATTCAGCTATGATGTCTGAAATCTATTTTTTTTTTCTCGGTCACTCAGATGTTTATGAAAAAGAAGTCCAGGGAAGTAAAATAGAACTTTGAGGAGAAGGAATCAACAATGGGAATAAGGACTTACAGTACAGTAAGTTGTAGTTTTATTTTTCCTAAGAATCATATTTTAACCACTCCTATGTTCAGCCTAAGGTGAATGAATGCTGCCGAAACAGAAAGCTGAAGGGTGACTAGACTAATGTCTTTTCTTAAAACAAACTATGATAAAGTTATCTGTGCATCCTGTTAAGAATGTGTTCTAATTTAGAGCAATGTTGGCACCCAGTTCCCTATCTCCACCACCTCCCAATCTCTCCTTCATTTTGAATGGCGTCAGAGAAAAACCGAAATTGCCCCACCAGCCATCAACCTGGAATAAAGAGTCAGTGAAGTGACCACTACTTTCCCTGGAATACTCAAGAAATGATTGTTCAAAGAGGCCTACCAGATGCTGTATGATACCAATTCCTTGTGATCTGAAAATGAAGGAACACCAAAGTCAGGTTTGCTCCATATACATGGGTGAAAATGAAGATCCCTTGAGCTCCTTGTGTCACAGTGATTTTCTTCCAGGACTCATCCTTCCCACGCACACTTGATCCTCACCAAAAATGTAACTGATTTATATTTTCCCCCAAAATGAAAAAGTATAAATATCAGCTTTGGATTAATGGAGGATTTACTAAAATAAGTAAGTCAGTGCATCAAGTGCATCTGTCAGTAGAAGCAATTTCAAAGTGACCAAAGAGATTAGGAAGTTGCTAAACTTAAGTCAGCTTCCTGTAGAAACTTCTCGGTCTTCTCACCAACCACTGCTAGAGTTTTGTTTGGTTGGTGTCAGGCATATGTGCTCATGGGAGTCTTTCTACTTCACTGCAGGGGTGGAGGGGGGTTCCACACCAAAAGTTCCTTGCATTTGCAAAATCCTAGGCCCACATATGGACAGATATCTAAAAGGGGTATTATTTATTCAGGCTTCAGAAGGCATCTTTGCTTCTTTATTTTATTGAGTTATACAATCAAACATTTTGTGAATGCTAAAACAAGGAGATGGCAATTTCCAAGGGACCCAGGGTATGAGTGGCTGCAGGATGTCATGGTGGTTGGCCTTAGATGGGTTACACTAGGAGTTCAAGGAGAGTAATGGCACAGAAGGCAGCAGTGGCGAGAGTAAGAGGCACTCTGATGGACTCCTCCACCATTCCCCACAAAGCTGGTCATTCCAGGACCTTTATTGAAGGGGAATCTTCAACCCAAGCCAGGCCACGTATCTCTTCATTTTCCACCAGGCTGCTAGCCCCTGGACTTCTCCATCATTCTCCACATCTTCCATTAAAGCTGCCTGCTACATCTTACCTTCTCCATTAGAATGTAACCTCCTTGAGAGCAGAGACTTTGTGCTTCTATTAGTATTCCCAACATTTAACACAATGTCTGGCACTCAGTAGGCACTTTTAAAAAAAAATCATTATTTTAGGGAAATAAAAAAAAATTTGCACTCAATAAAAAGATGGCTACAGATGTTGAAAAAATAAATTGAAAACAAAAATCCTTACAATGTAAAGTGCTTCCGGTAAAATGGGATCTGAAAGCTCAAAATATTTGTCAGAGCCATAAATCCAATCAAAAGCTTCTTCTCTAAAATTTCTCACAATCTAGTTTTGATTCTTTGCTTCAATTTACATTATTGTAGTCATTATATACATTGTTTTCCTAGTTCTTCATTCTTTATCCATTGCAGTGATCATTTCCTCAGGTTGCAACTTCCATGTTTCTTTTCTTTTACAATGATAGAGACATAGATGTCGATACTGTTTCATTCATTTGAAATATCATAGTCATTATGTTTATGGACCACAATTTCTATAGCCATTCCCCAATCAATGGACATCTCCCTTGTAAAGCAAGAATTTTAAACATAATGGAGCATATTCAACCATGTCATTCTCACTGAAGGCGTCATCTCTTTTTCCTTTTTCATTTCTTATAATGTGTAACTGGCTTAATAACACTTATTAGTATAGTAGCATATATATGATTAAGAGACAAAAATGTAATTATATCACAGGAACATTGGGACATTTAACTGTTAAGAATCAATCAAAATATTGCAAGAAAATGTTATTATCTTCCACCTGAGAGATGAAAAGTATCATCTCAAACATAAATAGCTCTCCAGGGCTAAAAAGGAGGATCAGAGCCATAAATCTGATCTGAAAGCCAAAAAGAGTAGGCTTGATCTTAAGAGTCACCAAAGAACTAAAACTGAACACTAAGTGTCATCTAAGAACCTAAAAACCTATCCTGGACCCTATCACCAGAGAACCTAAAATATTGGCCGGAACCCTTAGCTTCCCCTAAGAACCCAAAAGACTAGCCTTAATCATAAATATCACCCAAGATCCAAAAAGTATGGCCATAATGGCCATACTGAACATTTGAGAACTGAGCAGAGTGGTCTGGATGGATCACAAGTCTGGCTCAGAGATCAAACAAGACACCATTATCTTTTCAATATGAAGTGAAAGAAAAATCCTGGATCCCAGCCTTTCAGAGAAACTCTTAGAACTGAGATCCCTCCTTTATGAGTGAAACACAGTAAGTAAAACACAGTAAATAGGTGAGTTGATTTATCCATGACTAACGTGAAATTCAAATTTCTGAATTTTCCCTGTTGGCAGAGACTCTGAAGGAGAGTCTAACTTCAATACTCATCCTAGAACTTTCTGGGTCTCCTGGGGAGACCTTACCTTAAATATTAAGGGCTGAACCTTAATAACATGAAGTATAAAAGCAGCATTCATGTTTACTATGAAATATCTTTTAAAAATGGAATTTAGAATCAGGTCTAACTGTTTTGAATGACTGGTAAACTAAATCAATGACTAATCAAATGAGATTAATTAACCGCTGTTAAAAGTCAGACAGTTTTATGGGTAACATTAATTCGAAGACACTAAAATCAGCTATTTCCTAAACCTCTTATTATAACAAATAACTTTCCTCCAAATATTCCCAAGGGGCATCATGAAACTTTAAGAAACATCTCATGATTAAGAAACTACATAATTATCTTTATATGTATAACATAAGCATATTTGAAAAAGAGGAAAGTGGTACTGTCAAAACCTCAAGTTGATCATTAGACTCGCAATTCCACAAAGGCTAGGAAGTCTCAGTCTAAATTTTTATTTCTTTTTTTAGGCTTTTGAAAGCAGGTTTGGCTAAAGGAAGTTAAATGAAAGCAAAATTAATACATTAAGGCAACATTAATTCAGACATCATGTCTGAAATATTTAGATTTGTGGGGATTTTTTCTAGATTACCCACAGATGTTTATGAGAAGGAAGTCCAGGTATGTAAAATAGAACTTTGAGCAGAAGGAATCAAGAACAGGATTAAGGAATTAGAATGCGGTAAATTTTAGCCTTCTTTTTCCTAAGCATCATATTTAAACCTCTCATATGTTCAGCCTCAGGTGACTGAATGCTGCCAAAACAGAAAGGTGAAGGATGGCTAAACTAATGTCTTTTCTTAAAACAAACTGTGATAAAATTATCTGTGCATCCTGCTAAGAACGTGTTCTAATTTAGAGCAATATTGGCCCCCAACTCCCTACCACCACCAATTCCCAACTTCTCTTTCATTTTGTATGGCATCAAAGAGAAACCAAAGTTACCCCACCAATTATCTACCTGGAGTAAACAGTCAGTGAAATGATTACTACATCCCCTGGAACATTCAAGAAATGATTGTTTAAAGAGACCTACCAATGATGATACCGATGATGACACTGGATGATATCGATTCCATGTGACCTGAAAATGAAGGATGCCTAAAGTCAGGTTTGCTCCAAGTATGCGGGGAGAAATGAAGATCCCTTGAGCTCCTTGTGTCAGAGTGATTTTCTTCCAGGACTCATCCTTCCCACACACACTTGATCCTCACCAAAACTGTAACTGATTCATGTTTTCCCCAAAAACAAAAAAGCGCAAATATCAGTTTGAGTTAATGGATGATTTACTAAAATGAGTAAGTTAATGCTTCAAGTGGTTCAGGCAGAAGAAGCAATCTCAAAGTGACGAGAGATTAGGAAGTTGCTAAACTTAAGTCAGCTTCCTGTAGAAACTCCTGGGTCTTCTCACCAATCTCTGCTAGAGTTTTTTTTGTTTGGTATCAGGCTTATGAGTTATGGGAGTCTCTCTACTCCACTGCAGGGGTAGACGGAGGTTCCACACCAGAAGTACTTCTCCTGAAGAAATCCTAGGTCCATATATGGACAGATATCTAAAAGGGTGGTTATTTATTCAGGATTAAGAAGACATCTTTACTTCTTTAGTTAACTGGCTCATGCAGTCAAACATTTTGTGAATGCTAAAACATGGAAATGATCAAATTTGTTATATATAAAATGAGAATAACAGGTGGCATTTATTTATTTTTAAGAATATTTTATTTAACCACAATTACAATGTAAAATGTTTAAAACAATTTTTTTAAAGTTTTAAGCCCCAAATTCTATCCCGCCTAACCTTGTTTTCCTTCTCCCATCCTCAGGTAGTAAACAATCAGATATAGGTTATACATATAATATCAGACATGTCTAAAGAACACACTATGTGCCAAATCCCGTGTTAAACACATAAGAATTCTCAGATGACTTGTAAATAGCTTCACTGGCTCAAACCAAAGACATTAGGAGGTTGGGAAGGTAAGTCAGCTTCCAGTAGGGTCTAACCATCTAGCCAACAATTCTTCTTAGAAATTTTACCCCTAGGTGGCAGGCTTATGTGCTCATGGGAGTCTCTCTACTGCAGTGCAGGAGTAGAGGGAGGTTCCACACCAGGAGTTCCTTGTCCTCAGCAACAAATATGGACAGATATCTAAAAGGGGAGTTATTTATTCAGCCGTCAGAAGGCATCTTTGCTTTGTTATTATACTGAGTCCTGCAGACAAACATTTTCTTAATGATAACACATGGAAATGGTTTATTAAGAATACATAGGAAAAGAATAAGAATAAGAATAATAGCAGGCATTCATTTATTTTTAAAATATATTTTATTCAAGCACCCCTCTGCCCCGTCAACTCCACGTGAAAACAATTTGGAAACTTTTCTTTAAGTTTTCAATTCCCAAATCTATCTCTCCTTACCTCCATCCATTGCCACTCCCCAACAAGGCAAGGAATCTCCTAGAGGCCTTGGACATGGTATATCCCTCTAGTAGTCCAGGTATGTTATGGAGAGAAGAGTGCGACTATTGAAAAATTTGGTCAGGACTTTTAACTGGTATGAGTATGCAAAGAGAGGTAGTGAGAGTCAGCATCATAATCTTCAATCTGAGAAATGAGAAGTCTCCTAAATACATAACCTGAAAGTAACTTCCTAGGACAAAAATTGATTCTGAGCTAGAAGTCTAAGCTGAAAGCCAAAAGGAGTAGCCAGGATCCTAAGGGTCACCTGAGAACTGAAAAGACTCGAGCCCACGCTAATTCTCCCCTCAAGTCCTAAGACTAGCCTGCACCTGAGAGCTGAAATAGCTGGGTGGACCCTAACTATGTCCAGAGTGCCAAAAAGACAGCCTTGCCCCCTAACTAGTCCCAGGGAGCCAAAAAGGCTGGCCTGACCACTAAGTCTTCCCAGGACACCTAAATGACGACCCTGACCCCTAAGAACTCTTGCAGAACCCAAAAGGCTGCCCTGGTGCCCCCATAAGACCTGACAACTGAGAAGACTGGTGTAGACCCTAACTCTCCCCTGAAATCCTAAGACTAGCTGGGACCTGTGAGCCAGAAGAGAGGCTTGCAGCCTAACTGTCTCCATAGCTCCAAAAAGACAGGCTTGCCCCCTAGCTAGCCTCAGAGAGCCAAAAAGGTTGACCTGGCCCCTGAGTATTCCCAGGGCACCCAAAGGACCAGCCTGACCCTGAAGACTGCTCTCAGAACCCACAAGGCTGCCCTGGGGCCCACACAAGCCCTGAGAATTGAAAGGCTGGCCTGGCCCCTGCAAAGCCAAGTTTTGGGGCAACCAAGTTCCACAAAGTACAGCCCGGGCCATAAGTGAACATTCAAGAGCGGGGCACATTGGTCTCCAGGCCGATGTCAAGTCTGTCTTGGAAAACCCACAAGTCCAAATTTGTTCTTTCGACAGCAAGGACCTCAAAGAACAATCCTGCCTCCCAGCCTTGCACGACAGCGCCCCCAGCCACTGAGATGCCTCCTTGCCCAGTCAAATAGTGCAATAAAGGTGATCCAGAAACGGAGTGCTCACAGGAAGAGAAATGACTCACGCTTCTCTGCCTGTGTCCCCGTGGCTGGAGGCTCTCCTTAAATACTCAGAGTTCAGCCTTGGAGAAGAAGATTATTCACCAACACTTGTCCTGTCTACTTGTGAGTAGAACTAAGGACTGAAGGCAACTGCTTTGAGGAACTAGCAAACTAGCCCCTCAAGTGATGAAATGAAGTTTAACTTTTAGGGTTGCTTCATAGAAAATAAAAACGTTCAGCAACTATCTTGACGACCTGACAACCTATCGAGTTACATGGGGACACCACAAAAACCGGTCATTTCCTAAACAGGTTTTTATGAGCAGTCATAGTTCCCCCAAATGTCCCCAAAGGGTGCCATAAAAGGTTGTGAAACATCTCATCTTTCAAAAAGGCTATCTTCCTCTTCGTGTACAGAAATGATTTACTTTTTTAGGAAGAGCTGAGTGGTACTGTACCAACCTGAAACTGAGACTCAGTTCCACACAGGCTAGCAAGCCCAGATCTGAATCTGCTGCCTTTCGATTGGCCGTCTTGGTTTCTCAAAAACACGTTGGCTTTGAGGAAGTACACATCCAGGCACCCTCTGCATTCACCTTTCCATTTGCCGCTTTGGTTATTGTTTTCTGCGGGTCACTCGCAGGCGTTTATGAAAAGGAAGTCCAAGGAAGTGAAGTCGGACTTGGAGGAGCAGGAATCAGGAATGGGAAGAAGGACTTAGAATACAGTGAGTTTGAGTCCTCTTTTTCCTAAGCCTCCTAGGTGAAACACTCCTAGGTTCAGCCTCAGGTGGATGAATGCTGCCCAAACAGGAAGCTGAAGGCTGGCTAGAGCCATGTCTTCCCTTCAAACAAACTAGGATAACGTTATCTGCACCTCTTTCTCAGAAAGTCTTCTCATTTAGAGACATGTTGGCTCCAGCTCCCTACCACCACCAACTCCCAACCTCTCCCTCATTTTGGATGGTGTCAGAGAGACACCAAAGTTGCCCCACCAACCTGCAACCTCCAGGTGAAAAAGTCAGTGACCGCACCACTGCATTCCCTGCAACACTCAAGAAATGATTGTTTAAAGAGGCCCACCAGATGCTGGAGGATACCGACTCCATGTGACCTGACAATTGCAGGACCACCAAAGTCAGGTTGGCTCCAAGTATCTGGGGGAAGATGAAGGTCCCTTCAGCTCCTTGATCATTGAGATTTCCTTCCAGGACTCATCCTTCTCACACACATACACACACACACACACACACACACACACACACACATCACACACACACTCACACACACACACCCCACATACACCCGCCCCACACACACACAGACACAGACATAGACACAGACATAGACACACTAGATCCTCACCAGAAAATGTCAGGGATTTCTATGTCTCAATAAAAGGAAAAGGCACACCTCTGAGGCCTGGGGTAATGGAGGATCCACTACAATGAGGAGGTTGGTGCAGGGAGTGCTTCTGCCAGCAGAGACAATCTCAAAGTGACCACGGAGAGTAAGAGGTTGGGAAACTCAAGTCAGCTTCCTGTAGAGACTCTCGATCTTGTCACCAACCCTTGCTAGAGTTTTTACCCCTAGGTGGCAGGCTTATGTGCTCGTGGGAGTCTCTCTCCTGCAGTGCAGGAGCAGAGGGAGGTTCCACACCGGGAGTTCCTTGTCCTCAGCACCATATATGCACAGATATCTAAAAGGGGAGGTATTTATTCAGCCTTCAGAAGGCATCTTTGCTTCGTTGTTATACTGAGTCCTGCAGTCAAACATTTTCTGAATGCTAAAAATGGAAATGTCATATTAAGCATACATGGAATAAGAATAATAGCAGGCATTCATTTATTTTTAAAATATATTTTATTACGGGAAAACAATTTGGAAACTTGTCTTTAAGTTTTCAGTTCCCAAATCTTTCCCTCCTTCCCTCGATCCATTGCCCCTCCCCAACAAGGGAAGCAACCTCCTAGAGGCCTTGCAAGTACAATCATATTAAACATATTTCCACATTAGTCTTGTTCTGAAACAACCATCAGAACAACAGGGAAAAACGAGGACAAAGAAGAAACAGAAAACAATGGAAGGAGTAGGCTTCCATCTGCATCCAGACTCCATAGTTCTTTCTCTGCAGGTGGCTAGCCTTCTCCATCATGAGTCTTTCGGAATTGTCTTAGATCTCAGTATTGCCCAGAAGAGCTGAGTCTCTCAAAGTAGGTCATCCCAC